GTTAACTTACAAGTCAGATGTATTTACTGCATTTAGGGATTTTATTTTAAAAAGCGAAGCTCATTTTAATCTAAAAGTAGTTAATCTATACATAGATAATGGAAGGGAATATTTATCAAATGAAATGCGAGAATTTTGAGTTGAAAAAGGCATCAGCTACCATTTAACAGTTCCACACACACCTTAGCAAAATGGTGTATCCGAAAGGATGATAAGGTCTATAACTGAAAAAGCTCGTGCCAAACTACAGAAAAGTTTCTGGGGTGAAGCTGTATTAACAGCAACGTATTTATTAAATAGAAGTCCAAGTAATGCACTTAAAGATTTATTGAAAACACCATAAGAAATGTGGCATAACAAAAGTTTAAAGTATTTAAAAGTTTTTGGTTCCACAGTATATGTTCATTTTAAACTACAAAAAAGAAAGTTTGACGAAAAGTCATGGAAAGGTATACTTGTGGGGTATGCACCAAATGGGTACACAGTGTGGTGTGTTGGAAAATAAATATTTGTAACAGCAAGAGATGTTGTTGTTGATGAAACAAATATGGTAAAATCTAGAGCTGTGGTTGAGGATGACATGTATCTTAATAATAAGGATGGTGAAAGTATTCAATTAAATATTGATAATGAAAATGTCCTCAAAAATAATGGGAAATCTGATCAAGCAGATGAACAGTCTAGTGATATGGTAGAATTTGATACTGCCGATCCAGAAATGTCTGGTGAAAATTCTAATAAAAAAGAAGACTTGGAATCGCAGATAAATATTAGAAAAAGTGATCGAATAAAGAATAAACCAAAAGTATCTTATCAATATTTAATAAATAATTGTGTAATGCATACTCAATCTTTAATCTATTCCATACCTAATAAATTTGTCGAGGTTAAATACAGTAAAGATAGAACATATTGGGAGAAAGCTATTAAAGAAGAACTGAACTCACACTCATTAAATAAGACTTGGTCAATTGTACAAAAGCCTAAAAATAAAAATGTAGTTGGTTGTAGATGGGTTTTTACAATCAAACAAAATGAATTCGGCGAACCAATAAAATATAAAGCCAGACTTGTTTCTCGTGGTTTTACGCAAGAATACTTAGTTGATTATAATGAAAAATTGGTACCTCTAGCAAGAATCTCGAGTTTTAGATTGATTATGTCTATAGCAAATCAATATGATTTTAGTACATCATATGGATGTTGAAACAGCATTTTTGAATGGAATATTAAAAGAAGAAATTAATATGCAAATACCCAAGGGTCTAATAAGTAGAGAAAATTATGTTTGTAGACTACATAAAGCTATTTATGGTCTCAATCAAGCTGCAAGGTATTGGTTTGAAATATTCGAGAAAGCATTGACAGAAATAGGCTTTGTTAATTCACCAGTAGATCGTTGTATATATCTTCTTGACAAAGGGGATATATTCTCTTATATATATATTCTTTTATATGTAGATGATTTAGTAATCTCTACCAAAAATAATCAAGTAATGAAAGATTTTAAATTATACCTAATGAACAAATTTGGAATGGCTGATTTAAATGAGATTTAATTTTTCTTAGGCATAAAAGTTGATAAAAGTGATGGTCATATAAGTCCTAGTCAATCTGCTTACATAAAATCAATACTTTTAAAATATAATATGGAAAATTGCAATCCTGTTAACTGTCCTCTGCCAACTAAACTTAATCATATTGCTCTTAGCTCAGATGATAAGTGTGATGCCCCATGTCGAAACGTAATAGGATGTTTAATGTATATTATGTTATGTACAAGACCTAATTTAAGTACAGCCGTTAATGTCTTAAGTCGTTATTGTGAAAAGAATAACACAGAACTTTGCCAATGCCTGAAGAAAGTTTAAGGGGGGCTTCTCATGTAAAATTTTAAAAAAATCTAAATTTTTTTTTTTTCATAAATGGATAGAATAACGTCTTGAGAGTATATTCCCGAAGTTTTATAACTCAACTCTCAATATTATGGAAAATATCAGTGATTGAACGAGCGCGCTCAAGTTCAAGACCCACACTAACTCAAAACTTTAAATCGTTTTTTCTCAAAACGATGTTTTAAAAAACGCGGTACACGATTACGGAAAAACTGCTGAACCGATTTTTGATTTCTAAAAAGTGTTTTGCAGATTATACATTGAACGAGTGCGTGAATATCTGAAATTGTGAAAAAAAGTTATTTTATACACTTTTTAGCCCAATTCAGCAAAAAAAAAGACGAAAAAATGACACTTTTTTTTCAAGACGTGATTTCAATATTTTAAAATCGAATTTTTGAAGTGGCTGACATTCACGCACTCGTTTGAACCTTGCTGCATACAAAAAAATTTTTTTGTTTTTTTTTCAGATGAAAACTTTTTGCTCCACACTGTACCGCAATAAGTCCCTCAGCCGCGTCGAGCTACACGCGACCTTGAATAAGTCCGCCATTTTGTTTTTTAGAATTTTCAAAAAATGTTTTTCTCATACTTTAAACATGTCTTCAAATATGTGCAAAAAATTATTTGTGTAAGTTTTCATTTTCCAAGAGAAAAAAATTCCCAAAAAACCACTACTTTTTGGCATGTTACATGAGAAGCCCCCCTTAAAGGTGCCTAAAGGGTACAGTTGATTTAAAGTTATCTTTTCAGAAAAACTCAAATTTTAATGAGTTTTTGGTCGGCTATGTGGATTCAGATTGGGGTGGCAGTGAATCAGATAAAAAAAGTACTACTGGATACATATTTAAAATGTTTGATTCTAATGTAATATGTTTGATTCTAATGTAATATGTTGGAATACAAGGAAGCAAAACTCGGTAGCAGCATCTTCAATAGAGGCAGAATATATGGCCTTATTTGAGGCAGTTAGAGAAGCCAAGTGGTTAAATTCATTTTTAATAAGTTTAAAGATAAATGTAATTAATCCAATTAGATTATATGAAGATAATCAAGGATGTATGTATAAGTATTGCCAATAACCCCTCATGTCATAAACGTTCAAAGCACATTGATATAACATATCATTTTACAAGAGAACAGCTTGATAAGAACCTAATTGAAACTGTTTATATTCCCACAGGTAAACAAATCGCAGATATGCTAACTAAATCATTACCAGCGCAACGTTTTTGTGATCTGCGAGATCAAATGAATTTGATAAACTGAAAAATGGAATGGAATGGGATGATATGGATCTCATTGAAAATCAAGAGGCTGTCTCAACTTTAAGTTTTTTTTTTTATTTTTATGGTTTGAAATAAAATTGTTTAACGTAAATTATAATTTTTATACATCAGTCTGATTGGGTTTTTGTGGGTTTTCCCCAATCCTTCCAACAAATGTTGGACTGAAATTGTACAACTCCCACTATAGCACATACAGACACTTTTCTTATCTTAAGGGGTTATATCCAGTTGCGATTTTGAAAAAATCGAAATTTTTTTTTTGCCTATTTTGAATGTATATATGTATATCTAAGAAGATTATCTGAAAATTTCAAAGTATTCCGGTAAATAGTATTGGAGTAATCAGTGTATTTGTAAAGACGTCTCCCATGTAGTTCAACTAGTAGCCAAAACTTTAAATGCGTTTTTCTCGAAACTATGTCTTCAAAGTCGGTGAGCAAAATTTCTCAGAGACGGCTTGTCCGATTGACTTGAAACTTTCACATTCTCTTCTTAGATATTTTTTTTCAGGTAATGAAACTTGGAATTTTGGCTCCGACAAAAACTTCGATTTTTTTAGCCACTTCAAAGTTGAAATTTTTGTGCCAAAAACAAAGTTTTATGTTTGGGAAGCCGCCATTTTGTCAAAAATCAAAATTTTGAAAATCCCAAGTCTCATTACCAGCATTTGTCTATTCTTTACGTAATCCTTTTGGTTTTTTGCAATTCAGATAATTTGGACCGGAGAAATTTTGCTCACCGCAAAACCTTTTTTTGAAGTGGACCCTCGGGAGATCCTCTACAGGACCGACGGAGTCCAAAATTTTTTTTTTTTTTTTAAATATATTCTAGAACTAGAAATAATGACCTATCTTTTCATATATATTACGTATTCATACAATAAATTGCCTCTCCAAAAATAATTTTCAAAAAAGCTCATTTTTTTGGCCTCGCAACTGGATATAACCCCTTAAGTAAACTATAACGAATATATATATACTATTTTTGAGGAGGTGTGTGGAAATATCACATCATTAAAGGCAAATACAGTATATATATAATATAATATATATATATCGAATATCTATATTTTTGGCATTTATGGATTATACGGCCATACTATTATTTTATGCTTTTTCGTCCTCTTCCTTCTTGGTTCCTTGAACAATAAACACGTGTGTCTGCTATAAAATTGAAATACTCTAAACAAAGTGTTTTTCTTTATTTGCCTATTGGAAATATACAAAACGAGGAATCAAGACAGACCAAGGAGATATTAAGAATTGATATCTGTTTTCCACTACCTAACGGCTCTGCGAATTGATCTGTTTCTTACAGATTTTCTACAAGCACACTTAACCTGCTGATGTTGTTGGGTCATACGCTAGAGCACAAGTAACTGATATGGTGATGTGGCTCTGCTTTTATAGGCCGCGTTGGTGGTTAGTGTGACCAGATCAGGTAACGGAATTGTCCCATCAGCTATCGGGTACTTTGGGTGGCGTGAGTGGCTAACGATTGTTATCGTTTGTCCAGGGTTGCGTGACAGGCGATTGTTATCGTATCCCCAGGGTTGCGTGAATGGCGGTCGATTGGTATCGTGTGCCCGCGCTTTTGCCCTGATGAGAAAAATCTACAACAATTTAAATCTCGACGACCGCTTCTTCAACGACTTGCCTTGTACTCTGCAAAAAGATCACTTCTGCTCTGCACCTTTGGAAGGACGACGAGGGACCTTTTACCACTGCCACCTGCTCCTTAAATACTGGAACACGTGGCCACAAGATGACCGCTACTCCTGCTGCTGCCGTGGCTGCTGCCGTGGCTGCTGCCGTGGCTGCTGCCGTGGCTGCTGCCCGTTCTTGCCTTGATGAGAGAAATAAACAACAATTTAGAATTCGACGACCACTGCTACAACGACTAACCTTATGCCCTGTAAAAAACACCACCTCTGCTCTGCACCTTCTGGACCTGGACGACCCCATCAGAAGAAGAATTCGGCATACTCCTAGGACGCACCTAACGATGACGGCTGCGCTCCTTCTCACTGGACTGTTGCTGCACTCAAATTTCCATTTAAAGCTTGCCATGGAAAAATCATCAACGCCAGTCTTGCTGCCCAGGCCTGCCATCAACACCGCTACAAAGAAGGTACTCACCGCAAAGCATTATCACTAATCAACTAAAATAAATTAGAATAAATAGCATTTTCAAATTGTAAACAAAGTAAACACTTACCTATTAACAGCTGTTATTTGTAATCAAAGAGCACGGCCACTCTGAAAACACTTCTTACATTCTTATACGCCATGTTATTGGTATTTTATATTTCTAACTAAACGAATTCAGTATATTATTTAGATTACATTTACTACTTATCGATTATGTAGCGAATAGGTAAATAGAAAGCAGCTGTTATTTGTAATCAAAGAGCACGGCCACTCTGAAAACACTTCTTACATTCTTATACGCCATGTTATTGGTATTTTATATTTCTAACTAAACAAATTCAGTATTTGTTTATTATTTAGATTACATTTACTAATTATCGATTATGTAGCGAATAGGTAAATAGAAAGCAGCTGATCGTAAGCTTTCTGCGCCACCTAGAGGAGGATAATGGCACGAGTTGGCGTGAGCAGGGCCGTCGACTGGGAGTGGTGACGGGGTGTTTCCCCCGGGCCCGGACTTCTGAGAGGGGCCCGAATTTTTGGCGAAAACTCAAATAAACTGGGTATAAAAAAATGCTCCGCCATATTTTAAAGAAATCGCTAAGATGTGGAGCCTGAGAAATGATCACTTTTGCCAGAATCGCTTTTACAAACAGCGGGCAGCGGGATTTCTGGCTTTTTATTTTGTTTAAATCAGGGACCGTAAATAATGATTATTGTCGCTATTTTTAAATGAATAAATAAATCACTTCCAATCAACATAGAACAAGCATGACTAGCACGTTTTTATCCTTTAAGGATACACAATGAATATCCTTGATGATTTTTAATTGTTATATTTATTCTTCTATTATTAAACATTATTTTTGAGCAAAAAAAATAAAAATCACAGGTAATCATTAAAATCATTAAAACTCACCAAGCAACAACTTTTGATCCTTTAAGGATATTACCAATATTGTCATATGTCCTTATAAAGGGACCCTAGAGCAACAATTGACAACAACAACAACAAAATGTATTTTACCTGTGTTTGTTGCAGTTATTTAATATAAGGTCAACTGTTACATACAGAGCAGCAGCAGCAGCAGATATACACAATTACCAAAACAATGATAATAATGATAATGATAATCATCATAATGATCAACCAGTAGAGCAATTAGGTAGGGGAGAGTGGTCCCATACCGACCGGTCGTACCATACCGACCCCCCCATGTTTCTCAGAGATGGCGATGCTAGCCGAATTGTCGGTAACTTCAGTGAAAAGCTGTTATAACACAGACATTTTGGAGATAGATAGCCAATTTGACTTCTTTTGTTTCACTGAAATTTTTCCGTTTGTTTTGTTTCAACGCCTGTGACATTCATTTTTTTTCTTTACTGAACTTGAGCTTAAATATTTTTAAAGTTTTTTTTCTCCGCATAAAAATCGGAAGGTAAGGTTTTCTGATAGTTGATAGTCCTAGCTGTCATTCACGCTATTAGAATCACATCGCTCTTTGCGTCATTAGATAATGGCGAGCAGTTAATTAGAAAAGGTTGTGGTGGTCCGAAACCGACCGCGAAGTGATGGTCCGAAACCGACCCCCATTTATAGGCAGCTTAATATGTCATAGCGTATTTTTGAGGGAAAATATGAAAAAGTAAACAAGATTCAGTAAAGAAAAGTAACAGAAACAAAAAAAAAACATCAGAAGAAAGCGAAGAGACAGTCATCAACCAGCGGCTTTCGAAAAACAACGCGACTCCTTACTATGAGAAAGAGGACAACTCAGACTTCATCAATTGACTACAGTGCCCTTTATTTCATACATTAATTTTTATTTTCTGGAAAGAACCTTCATTATATTTCTTAATAAACGTCAAAATCATTAAATTCTATTTTATGTTATTAAATTTTTCTGTTAAGAAATAGGGGGTCGGTTTCGGACCACTACTTTTGAGTACGACCAAAAAGTGGAGTTTTATATTTGCCTGAATATCTAACGCTTCAAAGCACCCACGCACTTACTAATCATTTAGATGTATAGTAAACTGATCCTTCTACATAGTAAATTTTTGAACTGAACTGAAAAATTGATTTTTCTCACCTTTATCGCCTTTGCCATTTAGGGGGTCGGTATCGGGCCACCCTCCCCTACATTAATTTTCAATTTATTATTTCTCAGCTAGCTGAAGGGTGTGTGCTGCACAACGTACGGAGGTGATGGAACCAATGCTAGTATTAAACATTAGCTCTTCCTCATCGTCGTCGTCCTCGTCAATGTCAGCAGTCTCCGTATCATTAAGCAGCTCAACTGCTTTCACCATATTTCGGCCATTGTCCATTGACCATAACCACGGTGTATATTTGCTGCTTCTGAATCGCGAATTGGCTCAGCAGTGACTCAATGTCAGCAAATGTTTCTGGACGTGTGCGACATCTTTAACTCAATAAGGCCCAAGGTCCTTATCGCAATACCAGTGTCGTGAATATATTGCACATTTACGCACAAGATCCCACGATTACACCGGGTGGCTGTGTCCATTTTTAAGCTAAGCATTTTGTCCTTGAGACTGGCCATTATGCTGTTTTTAATGTCATTATATTTTTCCTCCACCATGCCCATTATGTTTCTGGACGAAACAGCCGGCATATCCAGAGCAGAAAATATTTGAGACGTTAGCGTTTTGAAGCACTCCGAATCAAAAATAGCCAACGGAAGCTTTTCCAGCGTCACCAAATCGATGCACGCATCCTTCACTTCATTTTTGCCCATTGTTATTGCAAATTTAATTTTTTTCGGCAGCTTCGTCTTCCTGAATGTTAGCTATCTCAGCTTCATACTCCGATTTATGCATAGTTTGCATATGCCGCTTCACGTTGCACACGTACTCGCCAACTAACATTAATTTGCAAATTTTGCACTCGGAAACAACTTTTCCCGCGTGGAAATTGAAAAAATTGGGGAGAACAAAATTTCGCTTGCGAACCATATCGAAACTCAATAGAAATGATATGTCATTCTTACTGATAAGTTTCAGTCTTAGACTAAGATAAGCGCTACTAAAAATAGATCTAAGCGCGTGCGCTTCCGCTGTCTTCTTTTGTTTTCTCTTCTCGTACGCTTTCGGCCTAAGGTAAGCTTTATCACATTGATCATTATGATCATTATCATTATCATTATCAATATCATTATTATCATTGTTTTGGTAATTGTGTATATCTGCTGCTGCTGCTGCTCTGTATGTAACAGTTCACCTTATATTAAATAATTGCAACAAACACAGGTAAAATACATGTTGTTGTTGTTGTTCTTGTTGTCAATTGTTTCTCTAGGGTCCCTTTATAAGGACATATGACAATATTGGTAATATCCTTAAAAGATCAAAAGTTGTTGCTTGGTGAGTTTTATTTTGAGCGAAAAAAATAAAAATCACGAATAATCATTATTTTTGAGTTTTATTTTTTTTGCTCAAAAATAATGATTACTTGTGATTTTTTTTTTTGCTCACAAATAATTATTAGTCTTGATTAAAAAAATTGAAAATCGATAAGTAATCATTACAAAGTATTTTTTAAAATATTACTTATAATGATTACGGTCCCTGGTTTAAATGATTTTTTTGTTTATGATCGTTACATTGGTTGCGTTCAGTAAAACATGATTAACGAATACTGATCCATCAATGCAACGATTGTTACTTTTAAGAATATTCTTAAGAATACTTTTAAAAATACTTGTAAGAATACCTATAGGGATAGCATTAGAAGAAATACCTCTTTTCTGACTTTGGTCACAATGAAACGAATTTCAAGAAACGGGAATGACAAGAACGACGACTCTCAAGCTTAAAAGATGCCAAAAGATTACAAGCAAAAAGTTCGCAATGTGTGGCTTAAAAGTGACGAATTTAAGGAACCGTTCTTCCAGTCAAAAAGAGCTTTTTTTTAAAGGAAAAGTTGGCGCTTCTTTCGTTTCCATGAAAAAGAAAGGACGTTACAGTACTGAATAACGATAACCACCTATATCACTTTGACTAAGTCTCTGAGGCTCGAATTCTCTCATTGCGGACCGATATAATGCTTTTGTAATTATGCACATCTCCTCAACAGACGCTCGTAAATCATTCACTGGATTTAGCACATCGATGTCTCCTTGGATAATCATCAATTTCTCGCAATTATTTCGAGAAGTTGCATTCGGTATTCCATTTGAAACCTATCGAATGAAATGGTTTTTTCCTCGAATGACGTTCTCATACGTTCAATATCACTCATCACCCTGCCGTGTTTTTGCATAGCCACTATTAGTTTAGCACTAGGCTTTGACGATACTTCCTTTTCTTTTTCAGTCAGTTTAGGTTAATATAAATAAATAAAATATTCTAAGTAAAAACAGTCGGACACAAGGGTAAAATAAATTTATTTCCAAAATGCTCAAAATGCTTCCTTAATAAATTTCCAACAATATCTAAATTTTAAATTTTAAAAATTAAAAAATTTAATTCCTCCAAAAAAATGTATTGAGTTGTGTAAGGGTTAAATGTGCACAGAAGCACCACCAAAATGCACAAAATATGTTTGTATGTGTGTTTGCCGTTTAACCAAAGCCGAAAAATGCACAAATGTTGAATTTTATTTGACAATAAATTGTCCAAACTATTTAAGTGGATCCCGTACGGGTTAAAGATGCCCACAAACACCTGGATAAAAACTAACCGTGATAGCGACGATAACTTGAAAATTAGTCCTTTTTTTATAACCGTCATGTTACGAGTCCTTGCCTTTGTGTTCACGCCATTCTCGAATATTGTGTCCATTTCGCAACACTTTATTTTTGTCAGAAAATAAAATTTCACATTACACTGTAATTTTTATATTGATCTTTATTATTCAAGTAGTAGTTGAAATAAAATACATTTGAAACTTTCGCTATTTTCAAAAATATTTCTTATCGCGGGCCCCCAGCGCGTTGTACCCCCCGGGCCCGAAATTCCCTCTCGACGGGCCTGGGCGTGAGATGTAATCTATGTTAGGTACAACTGCATTTTTGGATACGTCAGTGGTGGTTGGGATATCGGTTTTAGTTGGCAACCGTGGACAAAAGGTTTATTCGATATTAGGTACGGCTGCATTTACGCTAACGTAATTTTTGGCTGACTTTGGCATCACTAAATCGGCAATTTGCACATGAGGGAAATCTCATACTTCCTTTT